GTGAGATGGGAATATTAGATAAACCTATAGCTACTTTTTTTATTTACATTGTGTAATCTTTCATATAGAATAGGGCAGCAGCACATTGCTGTATATACGTAAGCTTGTTAATAAACAAAAATTATATGCAAGATGTTCTTAGCGATTATATTATATTATATATATATATATATATATATATATATATATATATATATATATATATATATATATATATATATATATATATATATATATATATATATTATACATATATATATATATATATATATATATATATATATATATATATATATATATATATATATATATATATATATATGTGTGTGTGTGTGTGTGTGTGTGTGTGTGTAAATCACGAAAAATAAATACGTGATTAAAAATGTGACAGTGTCAGACCACGGAGGAAAATTGAAACAGGAATTTCCTTAAGTACTTTCGTATATTAATACATCTTCAGGAGTCACTCCTTCTGAAGATGTATTAATATACGAAAGTACTTAAGGAAATTCCTGTTTCAATTTTCCTCCGTGGTCTGACACTGTCACATTTTTAATCACGTATTTATTTTTCGTGATTTACACACACACACACACACACACACACACATATATATATGTCGTACCTAATAGCCAGAACGCACTTCTCAGCCAACTATACATGGCCCAATTTGCCTAATAAGCCAAGTTTTCATGAATTAATGTTTTTTCGACTACCTAACCTACCTAACCTAACCTAACCTAACTTTTTCTGCTACCTAACCTAACCGATAGAGATAGGTTAGGTTAGGTTAGGTAGGGTTGGTTAGGTTCGGTCATATATCTACGTTAATTTTAAATCCAATAAAAAAAAATTGACCTCATACATAATGAAATGGGTAGCTTTATCATTTCATAAGAAAAAAATTAGAAAAAATATATTAATTCAGGAAAACTTGGCTTATTAGGCAAATCGGGCCTTGCATAGTAGGCTGAGAAGTGCGTTCTGGCTATTAGGTACGACATATATATATATATATATATATATATATATATATATATATATATATATATATATGTGTGTGTGTGTGTGTGTGTGTGTGTGTGTGTGTGTGTAAATCACGAAAAATAAATACGTGATTAAAAATGTGACAGTGTCAGACCACGGAGGAAAATTGAAACAGGAATTTCCTTAAGTACTTTCGTATATTAATACATCTTCAGGAGTCACTCCTTCTGAAGATGTATTAATATACGAAAGTACTTAAGGAAATTCCTGTTTCAATTTTCCTCCGTGGTCTGACACTGTCATTATATATATATATATATATATATATATATATATATATATATATATATATATATATATATATATTATATATATATATATATGACAATGTCAGACCACGGAGGAAAAATGAAACAGGAAATTTCCTTAAGTACTTTCGTATATTAAATACATCTTCAGAAGGTCATTTTACAGATCGAGTGATGGGTATAAATAGGCAGGAGAGAGTGGTGAAGTAAGGTGAGGTACAATACTTGGACAACGCAGAAGGCCCATTGGCCCATCAGATGCACCCAATTAGCCCATCCGATGTAGCCCAATGGCCCATCTGATACAGCAGACATACAAGCATAATACATAGGTAATTATAACATAAAGAGGTAAATATATACAATAAATTAGTGAGACAAATGTTTTTCAATGATTCTACTTAAATCGCCCTTTAGCTGATCTATTAGAAATGGATCTAAGTATCCATTTCTCACTTAGATCCATTTCTAATAGATCAGCTAAAGGGCGATTTAAGTAGAATCATTGAAAAACATTTGTCTCACTAATTTATTGTATATATTTACCTCTTTATGTTATAATTACCTATGTATTATGCTTGTATGTCTGCTGTATCAGATGGGCCATTGGGCTACATCGGATGGGCTAATTGGGTGCATCTGATGGGCCAATGGGCCTTCTGCGTTGTCCAAGTATTGTACCTCACCTTACTTCACCACTCTCTCCTGCCTATTTATACCCATCACTCGATCTGTAAAATGACCTTCTGAAGATGTATTTAATATACGAAAGTACTTAAGGAAATTTCCTGTTTCATTTTTCCTCCGTGGTCTGACATTGTCACATTCTTAATCACGTGTTTATTTTCGTGATATACACACACATATATATATATATATATATATATATATATATATATATAAAGGGAGTACATATAAAGGGAGTACCACCTCTGGCTGGAAAAATGGGACCCTTAGCCTCGGAGGAAACCACACATAACGCATTAGAGGGAATGTTTAGGTCCCCTCCAATACAGTTTGTGTGTGCTTTTCTTCTGTCACTCCCTTCCTTTTGTGTTTTGTTGTGCTTTATTAGCTATTTAAATGTTACAAGAAGTACACTAGCTAATACAATAGGGTTTAAAGGTTATGGATCTGTTAGAGCTCCTCCGCTTCCGGGCAGGAACCGAGGACGCAGCGGGCGTTTCCCTTCTGGATCGCCACACTGAGGCGCTGAAACAGGAAACTGGCAGCCCTTGGGTCACTGGTGACGTCAATGAGCACGGAACCTAATTCCTTGAGAAATCCCAAGGCACTCCAACTCCAGGGGCCATGCGTCTCAGACGCTATGGAAACAAAGGTGTATTGACCTTCCAATCGCCTGTATTTGACTGATTTTGCTATTTTTCTGTGGTTGGCCGCTCCATCTGCTTGATCAGCACTGAAGTGTATGTGTCAGCCGGGGTGGATACACATGTGTAGTCCCACACCAACTGTTTGCCCCTTTTCCAAGGGCTTCCAGGGGTATTAGAGATGCCATCAGGGCGAAGTACGGGGTCATTCGGGTTTTAGTCCCCTAAGATGCGAGGTTCTCTCTCCACTGGGCACTGAGCGGAGACAAGGCACCTCTTCATGATGTCATTGACCTCGTTGTGTCTTGCATGCCATCCCTTGGAGTTTCCACAGTTTCCATGCAGTCCATACTGGTCTGCTTCCACCCTGTTGCAAATACACTTGTATTTAGCGTGAATTGGGGCACCAGGGCGCAGGGCCACTGCTACACTGCTATTCTGGATCAAGACGTGTGTCCGAAGGATATGAGAAAATCTTTGGAGCAGGACGGCCAGACCCAGCGTCACGGGTCTTCCTGCAGACGCACATACCTTACCCATGGAACATGATATGCTTAAAAGTAACACAATCTGGAATCCGTCTCAACTCTGATGCCCAATCCACTGCTTCAGTAAGGATATATAAGGTAAGTGTACAACACGGGTACAGAGCGCCTAGGGAACACCTAAACTGTAATGGTGCAGATCCCCGGGGCTGCCGCCGCTGGCCGCGTCCCTTAGCCTAGCGCAGCTTGAAAATATTTACTAGGAGCTGAGTCTAAAGGGGTGAGCTTTAGGGCCTGCCTCCACCACCTCCACGAGCACTCCCTGAAAGGAACCACCACTGTCCCACCCCGTCACCATTGTCCTGCCCCTACCACCACTGTCGCACTCCGCCACCATTGTCCAACCCCGCCACCATTGTCCTGCCCCTACCACCACTGTCGCGCTCCGCCACCATTGTCCAACCCCGCTACCATTGTCCAGCCCTTACCACCACTGTCGCACTCCGCCACCATTGTCCAACCCCGCTACCATTGTCCAGCCCCTACCACCACTGTCGCGCTCCGCCACCATTGTCCAGCCCCTACCACCACTGTCGCGCTCCGCCACCATTGTCCAACCCCACCACCATTGTCCAACCCCGCCACCCTTACCCCATCCGTCCATATTAAATAAAGGTTATAGAAACGAGGCACTAAATTACAGACGAGTATTCAGTGTAGAGTGCAGGAGAAAGTAGTCAGGTTGAGAATGATGGATCACCTGGACGTCACCATGTGACAAAAGGGCAGCATGGATATAGAAACGGAAAATCGCTTCTGGCAAACTTGAGTGAGTTCTATGACAGGATTACTAAAATATGTCAGGAAAAAATAAAATGAAAATAAAGAAAGATGAAAATAGAGATGAAAATAAAGAAAGATGAAAATAGAGATGAAAATAAAGAAAGATGAAAATAGAGATGAAAATAAAGATGAAAATAGAGATGAAAATAAAGATAAGACTAATGATAAAGATAAGAATACAGATAAAGATAAGAATACAGATAAAGATGAGAATACAGATAAAGATGAGAATACAGATAAAGATGAGAATACAAATAAAGATGAGAATACAGATAAAAATGATAATACAGATAAAGATGAGAATACAGATAAAGATGAGAATACAGATAAAGAATACAGATGAAGATAAGAATACAGATAAAGATGAGAATGCAGATAAAGATAAGAATAAAAATAAAGATAAAGAAAAAATATATAAAAGTAAAGATAAAATAAAAATAAAGATATATAAAAATAAAGATAAATATATAGATAAGATAAATATATAGATAGGATAAAAATATAAAGATAAATATTATCTTTATCTATATAATTTATCTATATTATTTTTATATCTTTATTTTAGCGAAACGGTACATGGAAGGATAAGATAAAAATAAAGATAAGATAAAAAAGAATAAAAATATGAATAAGGTAAAAATAAAGATAAGATAAAAATAAATAAAAATAAAGACAACCCTCTTTAATAAAAAAAAAAAAAAGACTTCATTGAGCACCTAATATCGTCTCTGCCCAACCACTTGGGCTGGACGGTAGAGCGACGGTCTCCCTTCATGCAGGTCGGCGTTCAATCCCCGACCGTCCGAGGGGTTTGGCACCAGTCCTTGGGGAACCCATGCATGGATCCCATCCCAAATCCTTATCCTGATCCCTTCCAAGTGTTATATAGTCGTAACGGCTTGGTGCTTTTTCCTCATAGTTCCCCTTCCCCTTCCCCAGACTCTGAGCTAAACTTGTAACTGACATTATCAATATATTATCCATTTTTAGATCTAATTGCTATTTTGTTCAACCCAATGTGTTTATTTATTAACCAAAGTGGTTGGCCAATATACGAGTGACGTCAGCGCGATCGTACGTCAATTATTGAACAACCCTTCGGTCACCAGCAGCATCCACACTCTCCAATTGGCTCTTTCGCGTTTGACGTCAGAGATACCAGAAAGACATTTGCCATCTTTTGGGTGGATATGTCAGGTGGACCA